CTATGAGATCAACATGTGCACCGAGTTTCATATTATTATATACAAACGTGTTTGAGTTATGGACCAAGTGTTCGGACCCCGTTCCAGGGGGCGCTGACGAGCCGCCCTGCCACGCCCGGGTACCAGCTTCAGCCCGGCTCTGATGGCCGCGGGTTCTGACCCATGTGCAAAGTTTCAAGAGTTTTCGAGCACGTTAAGGGCCCCAAAAATGCCCAAAAGGTTACAAAATAATAATAAATATAGCTGCGAGCAGCGATGGCGGGCCCAAGCCGGTGGCACCGCAACCCCGGTTCCTTTAGTTACCTAAAGGCACCCGGGTAGCGGTGCCGAAGGCTTTGGCCCTTTTATGATTAAATGTTAAAACGGCTTGCCATACTCTGTCATTTCGACTAGTCACAATTATGTTACAGATATCTTAAATGATAATACAAACTATCCAAAATGTAATTACGAATAGACAGAAAGACGTTGTTGATATCTACAATGTTAATTCCGGACAGGCAAACTTAGCTTTTAAATGTTAAAAGGGCTTGCCATACAGGGACGTAGGCTCAGAGAGAGGCTCACCATATTCAAACCAAAATATCTGACTTCCTCTTGGTCCGAGCTAATGACTATGTATTAGAAAGTTGTCCGGCTTGAGGAGTACAATGTATATACCGATTTTTGTAACTGTAGATAAAACTAACAACCCCACTTTTGTCAAAAGGTGGCGCTATTTAGTCCTTGCACATTGCCCGTTTCTGAAACTTTGCACATGTCTACTGGCTAATAAATGTGATGTATCTGTTGAGTTTCAAGCAATTTCAATTTCAATTTGACTGTTGAAAAGAAGTGCGCCGATTAGATACTCAGGATCGGTATCGGCTCTGACACTGCCATCTTTGACGAGGCTGATTCAAATTCTATATTGTGCATATATACTATTCTGTTAGGCACAAAGGCACAAAAACTTTCTAAAGTACCATAAAGTTTTTGTGTACTGTATTATTAGTGTTCTGAAGCTATTATGTGATATAGAAATTAATATTTAAGTCATTAAATTCAAGAACACAAACTTTTCCCTCTCTGCGCCTGTCAGTCATTCTCCATTCAGCATTCAAACAGCACGTCACATTCGGTTACAGTCAATGATGAAACGATCTTCAATGATTCAATGTTAATCCTATTATACTGGATCTTTAAGATAAAGGTCTAAAGGTCTATATTTTCGAATGAAGAAACTTTTTCTTGCTGGACTTTATTGCTGTAACTTAATCGTGTTACTTTCTACCGGGTGTCGGACGCTGTCGGTTAGATCACAACACTAGAGTCAGAGCACTATAATTGTTCTTCACGCACACAGTAACTGAAATTTAAAACCTTTAAAAGAAAAGGCTCAATAAACTATTGCATAGATAGATAATGTATAATACACTGTTCATAAATATGTATTTCCTTTGTGCTTTGAACTTTTCAATACGGACTCAATGCGCTGTAACTTCATGTGGCTTCAAGCACATCATTCTCCGCTCGGGATGCACATAAGTGCTTTGTGCTGCACCGTATTGGAGCCGTAATATCATAATGCAGTGACGTAATGACAGATTATTAATTGCCTTTCAATTATATGTTGCTTTATAGCAGCCATGGCTATATTTTTTTTTTATGATTTTTGTTATCTTGTTTTTCATGAATGTATTTTTCAAAAATAAGAGCAATGTGTATTATCTATTATTAATATGGTTTATAATAGCATTTTTGTCATAGATTATGACAAAGTAATCATATGATCCACCAGCGAGGAACCAGCAGAACAGAGTGAACATTCTTTCTGTTTAGTTCAATCCTACTTAATAGGAATTTATTTAAAATGCTCGCTCTACTCCACACCATTAATGTCTTGTGCGGACATCCGTATTTCGACTTTCGGTTTTAAGTAAGCGATTTAAAAGCTCCCAAGTCCCAGCGGAGTCACACGTTGATTAACCGGTGGGAATATACACAATAGGCCTACCTGATATTGAACACAAGAGGGCAGTATAGCACTACGTATGACTCAGATTATTATTTTTTTATGAATTTTACAACAATTCTGGCTGTTTTTGAACGTAAACACAATTCTTAAATGAAAAAAAAGGAAAAATTGGGGAAGTTATAATATTTGTATAATTTAATTTAGAAACAAATGATGTATAATTACATTTTTAGAAGATATGAGGCTTTTAGTGTTTACTTTTTTGACATTACTTTAATCTTTTGCCATAGTTGCACATGTCTATTGGCTAATAAATGTGATGTATCTGTTGAGTTTCAAGCAATTTCAAGCATGCTAAGAGTCCCAAAAGCATCAAAAAATAATGTTAAAGTTTGTTTCGTTGCCACGGCAACAGTATCAAAGATATCAAAAATTCATTCACAGGTCTACATCTGCCGTGTATTTACATTATACAGATGAAGTTTAAAGCAAATCGGTTAAAAATAAGAGAGTGATTTCAAAGCATTTTGAAAGTGACACACTTCCTGCTGCCAGTTGGTGGCGCTATAACTTTGACTCACAATAGTCACATCCATGTGATCGGTCTCTTACAGCGAAAACACTGCTGAAGTTTCATCAAGATCAGTTAATGTATGCTGAAGTTATAACACACATCCTGTTCAATGATTCTCGCCATAATTTCGTTTCCTCGCCACGGCCAAAACGTTCGAGATATAAAAAATCCCGTGGCACTTTTTCATCCTTAATGTCTTGACTTCACGCTGATCGAGTTTTAGTCGAATTTGGTTCAGTGCTCTAGGAGCAATAATTTAAATTCCATTGCATGTGTTTTAAACACAACCCTAAATAGCCAACTTCCTGTTGGGCTGGGGTAAAAAGTAAGAGTGTGAAGTATATATGAAACGATGAGATCTATATGTGTACCAAGTTTCATATTATTACATGCAAGTGTGTTTGATTTATGGACCAAATTTTCAGACCAAGTTTATTGACCAAGTTAATCTGATTAATAAACTAATTATATAAAACTATTGTCAATTCACTACAATTAAACTAGTTATATGCCTTTACTTATAAAAAATAAAAATAAAAACTTATTTAAAAAATACCAGGCTTGAGAAATGTATTTTCTTTATGCAGGTCATACACACAGCAGTGAAATGGTTAAGCCCCCTCCCCCTGCACACACACACACACACACACACAGACAGCCAGCCAGCCAGCCAAAGACACAGAGACATGTAGGCTCAGAGTGGCCATATTCAAACAAGAATATCTGACTTTCTGTGGGTCCTAGCTAATAAGTGTCAATTAGAAAGTTGTCCGGCTCGAGGAGTACAATATACATACCAATTTTTGTAACTCTAGTTAAAACTAACCACCCCACTTTTGTCAAAAGGTGGCGCTACTGAGCCCTTACCACGCCCGTTTCTGCAACTTTGCACATGTCTACTGGCTAATAAATGTGATGTGTCTGTCGAGTTTCATGCAATTTGAAGCATGCTAAGGGTCTCAAAAGCATCCTAAAAGCATCCTAAAAGAAGGGTAAAGTTTGATGCGTCGCCACGGCAACAGTTTCAAAGATATCAAGAATCCATTCACAGGTCTACATCTGCCGTATGTTTACATTATACATATGAAGTTTGAAGCAAATCGGGTAAAAATAAAAGGGTGATATCTAAGCATTTTGAAAGTGACACACTTCCTGCTGCCAGTTGGTGGCGCTATAACTTTGACTCACAATAGTCACATCCATGTGATCGTCCTCTTACAGCGAACACACTGCTGAAGTTTCATCAAGATCAGTTAATGTATGCTGAAGTTATAACACACTTCCTGTTTTACGTTTCTCGCCATGATTTCGTTTCCTCGCCACGGACAAACCGTTCGAGATATAAAAAATCCCCTCGCAAACTTTCATCCTCAATGTCTTGACTTCACGCTGACCGAGTTTCGTCGAATGTGGATCAAAGCTCTAGGAGGAGTATTTGACATTCCATTGCGAGCGTTTTACAAACAAACCTCAATAGCCAAATTCCTGTTGGGCTGGGGTAAAAAGTAAGAGCGCGAGGTATAGATGAAACGATGAGATCAACGTGTGTACCGAGTTTCATATTATTACATACAAGCGTGTTTGAGTTATGGACCAAGTGTTCGGACCCCGTTCCAGGGGGCGCTGACGAGCTGCCCTGCCACGCCCGGGTACCATCTTCAGCCCGGCTCTGATGGCCGCGGGTTCTGACCCGTGTGCAAAGTTTCAAGAGTTTTCGAGCACGTTAAGGGCCCCAAAAGTGCCCAAAAGGTAGCAAAATAATAATAATACTAAAGAAGAATAATAATCCCAAGGAAAACAATAGGGCCTTCGCCCTTTCAGGGCTTGGGCCCTAATAAATAATCCTTAGGAAAACAATAGGGCCTTCGCCCTTTCAGGGCTTGGGCCCTAATAATCCCAAGGAAAACAATAGGGCCTTCGCCCTTTCAGGGCTTGGGCCCTAAAAACTAAATAAATGTCATTATGCAAAATATATTACACCATTATTTAAGTTGCTTCTCAAACATTTCACAAAAGTTAAGTTTGTTAGCTTGTAAATCATAGACGGTAGATATAAATATAGACATTTTTAACATTTTCTTGAGGGGAATCGACTTCATGCATCTACACTACAAATGACTTTGGCACCAAAAAAAGCTCTAGCATTATTGGTTTGATGTTTTTGTTTATTGCAATGGCATTCATACATATTTAATTATGGCTAATTGTGGTTAAGTGTCCTAATATTTTTGGGTGCTTTGTGTAAAAGTAGCAGTATCTGAGAGTTGTTCTCACTGCGGCTGTAGTCATAGAGAGCGACTATATCAATTATCCACCTCAACTCACTAGCTTGCAAATACATTTTGTTGCCTTCAAGCTCCAATTGTGACCATTCAATTCAATTGCTGTTTGTTTTGGTTGTTTTGACTGTCTCATATCTTCAGATATCTCAACGAATAGATTGACACTGTTTTTGATCTTCTTTTCTAGGTTACAATCATCCAGCCTTAATGAAAGTGATGACCAATCCAAATAATGTGGTGAGTCCTGATCAGACTATGAAGTGTGTGCATGTGTATGTGTGTGTGGGGGTGCACGTATGTGCGCGTGTGTGTCTTTATAGATAGATCACCGCAAATCCAATTTCCATTGTACAGTCAAACAGTGCTGCATGAGTGGAATGAGATGACAGTTTTAAAGGTGTGATGCACAGAGCTGCTTTTTAGCTCCAGCGCAAAATGAACCTTTGGTCTAATAAAACATCGGTACCTAGTCAACCGTTCTCTGAGATTTGTTTTCATGTCAATCGAATGTAAAGAGTTTTATCTCTAAAAACTGTTTAGCGTATAATGCTAGTTCTGGGGGCATTTACTAAGTAAAAAGAAATCGCTAGTTAACACCACTAACAAGGCTCAAAATAGCCCCACACTAACACAGTAACATAATGAGGGTCCATACATGCAAAACGAAGCATTGAGAACTTTGGAAGTGTACAGACCGTTTAAAAAGAAGATACTTTATATAGACAGTTCACTACGTGTATACAAACGTAGTCACGACAAGTCAAACCACGAACGTCGTGCTGAGTGAGCTGAACTGTATGAAGTTCAGCGAACTTCTGAACTCTATGAACGGCGTTCGAGGATCGACTTATCGAGACTATTTCCTAAGATGGCTCCTGTGTGTATACACGAAGTGAAAGCCACAATATGTAATTTTTCTGCTTTAAAAATAGCAAAAATAACTGTATCTATGTTATATATTTCTATTAGATGTGTACTTACATTATCCCGACAGTTTCCACCAACTTTAAAATTCGGAGAAATTTGTAGTTTAATTCGAAGACACGGGACATTTCTTTATTTCCGTTTCGTCGCCCGTCTATGGCGTCATATAACCTTTGACTCCTCTATTTTCTCTAACTTCTTACGGAACCTAGGGGGGTTTGGGACAGGAGAAGCATGACACAGGTAAACATTGGCGTTGCATTTAAAGCTTCTTGACAAGCTAAATCTACAGAGAGATGCCTTATATCCGAAGTATTTTGTGAAACGATGATGTCATGTCATGAGCTGAGCTGGTTGTCATTGACAACGACAACAACTCCCGTGAGCCCACGCTCTTTCCCGACGTCATCAAAGTACGTCTTTTGTTATTATTTTAAACGAGTGACCCCTGGTGGCCAAAAATCGCATACTGTACGTTGAACTGTCTTTATAAAATATCTTCTTATTAAACAGTCTGTACTTTTCCAAATTTCTCAATGCTTTGTTTTGCATGTATGGACCCTCATTATGTTACTGTATTAGTGTGGGGCTATTTTGAGCCTTGTTAGTGGTGTTAACTAGCGATTTCTTAAAAATCTTAACATTCGATTATCATGAAAACAAATCTCAGAGAACAGTTGACTAGGTACCGATGTTTTATTAGACCGAAGGTTCATTTTGCGCCGGAGTTCTCCTTTTTAGTTTTCCCATTAAAAACAAAATTCATTTATTTTATAATTCAGATACACTACTGTTATTAGGTTTGGGGTCTGCACAATTTTTGTAATGTTTTGAAAGAAGTCTCATGTTCACCAAGGCTGCATTTTTTTAAAATAAAAAATACAGTAAATAGGAGTACAGTAAACAACTGTAATATTGTGAAACATCTTTAAAAAAGTGATTTACTCCTGTAATAGTGTAACTGAATTTTATTTGTCAAATTTGCTACCATTCACAAGTGTCCACAAGTTGTATACATTTATGAATCGTAGTGTATACACACTTAATATTTACTTTTTCAAATTGTGTGTGAATTTTTGTTTTCAGAGTGCATTTGTGAACCGGCCGGCACTTGGCATTCTGCCACCTGAGAACTTTCCAGACAAACTGGTCGAGAGCCTGCTGACGGTGAGTGTTGTTGGGTTTGAAGAAACACAAGTAAAGAAGAATTTACAATCCTTGAAAGATGAATGTTTCCACAAAGCTAATAATAGCATATGTCTCAGAAATGATTGCTGACAATGCTCACAAGTAAAGTGTAAGGACTGTGTTTTGCGCAAGGTTCAGACCTTTCACTTGAAGAACAGATTGTTTTCTGGCAGTTGTAAAAAAAAGCCCTTTGGGATTTTCTTAATCTTGATAACGTTCTTTGTAGAGAACACTATGAACCTAATAAATGATTGCACTCTTTTTCACATTGGCCGGAAGTGGCTTGCTGTTTATTGTAGAGGTGCCAGTGCGGAGTGCTGTGAATGACTCTTTCTTCAACATCAGATTGCCCCCAGCGGAATGACGCGAGTACAAACCATGGCCTGTGGTTCCTGCTCCAATGAGAATGCTTTCAAGAGCATGTTTATCTGGTACAGAGTGAGTGGACTTTCCTCAGTTTGCTCCTGCTCGACTCACACAAAGTGCAAACAAACATTTGCTTTATATAGGTGTAATATTGGTTGTATTTTGGCAATAATGATACCCAGAAGAAGTCTTTCTGAAACTGTTGGTGGAAAAAATATCACCATGTATTTTTTATAGTAAGTATTATGAGTTGTGATATTATTGGTATTATTGATTGCAAAAGTAAAACAGAAGCTTGAAAGCTTAAATCTGTTAGAGATGCTGATTTAATTCAGATTACTTTATATTAGGGCTGTCAAATGATACAGGTGAGTGGTAATCATTATATAATTGCACACAAAAAAAACACACATTCCTGACTGTTATGCAAGTTGCCATATTATCTGGGCTCTTAAAATGGACTCTTAGACAGTGGTTGTATTTATTGTATAGAATTTATATTCATGTATGCATCATGTATGTATGTACCTACGTACATATGTTGGCATCCTTACTCTATACACATGAACAGCTCTTAAATCATCTGATATCTAATACTTTTTTTAATTGTTTCTAGAATAAGGAGAGGGGAAACACCGACCCATCTGCGGAGGATATCGACTCTTGCATGATCAACCAGGTTAGAGAATAGACACTGTGAAAGACACACATTATGCATATGACTGTAGCTCCTGAAATCTTAATGCGTTTTTTACACACACTGTTCTCTTTCCTCTCTCAGAGTCCTGGATGCCCAGATTTGAGCATCTTGTCTTTTATGGGAGCTTTCCATGGGAGAACTCTGGGTAAGTGCTTGAAAATTGTCTTGATTTAAGAGAGCATAATTGAAAGATGTGTCTGATTCAGTTCAGTACACTTTGAGCAGATTCAGAGATCTGGCCTGCATGTATTTGCCTTACATTTGTTTGCCTTTGCAGCTATTTGTATCATATGACTTCATTTGACCAACAAAGACGCCTGGCTGTTTTGTTTTAACTGGGACATCCATCCCCTAATGTGTGTGGTGTTGGATTACAGGTTGCCTGGCCACAACACATTCCAAAGCCATTCACAAGTTGGATGTACCAGCCTTTGACTGGCCTATCGCACCCTTCCCTAAGCTCCAGTATCCTTTGGAGGAGTTTAAACGGGAGAACGCTCAGGAAGAGGCCCGCTGCCTGGAGGAGGTCCGAGATCTCTCCTTCATGTGTCCACATAAAAAGAAAAAATTCCACACTAATTAAAATAATATTGTGGGTTCAGAACAGGTTAAGCTCAATCAACAGCAGCTGTGGGTTTCCCACCTTTTCTTCAAAAAAAAGATACTTACAATAGAAGTGATTGGGGCCAATCCATACATTTTAAAATACTCGCTATTTCACCACAAGACGTAAACAACAGTGTTAACATGATTTTAATGTTGTGTTAAGGTATATCCCATTTTACAGGTTTGTCAGCATGAAAACTGATCACTGTAAAACCTAAACCCTTAAAACAGCGGTATATATGAGTATTGTTACAGCTTTATGTTTTGGTTGTTCAGCAAAATTTTGTGGTCATTTCAATAGGAATATATACATGATTGAGAAATAGCATTTCTTCAAAGCAGATATCCAAGTTTTTCACTCAAAATCACCTTGTTGACCAACAGAAAGCTGCATTGTCCACTGCCAATAGTGTAGTAATGGACAATGCACTGCTCACACAGAAGTCGCTTTCAACCAAGTAGCTGTTTGTCAATTCGGCGAAAAACTTAAGCCCGATGCGAAATCTTAAGTAATGTAAGTGATTTTATAAAATAAGCTTCACATTTCTGCTTTTAAATTCTTCAATAATGGGCCCTTCAAGAATTTACTTCTATTGTTTGTGTCTCACCATTACCTTGCCTTTTGCATTTCTTTAAAGCTACACTATGTGATTTTTACCCCCATCTACCGGTGTAAAGGTATATGACCATCCGGTGAATATTAGTTTCTGTTCCTCTCAATTCCGTTTTCTCAATTTCGTTTTAACTCCTACGGTGGCCAGTGTAGTCCAAGATTAACATGGCTTCCAGTTCGACCTCGTCCATGAGTGTTAACTCAAATGTAAACGTGAAAGACGCTTGAATTAACGGGTATGTCCCTCTTTGGCTAATGTACTTTCAAGATGGAGGGGCAACGTGGCGACCGACATTAGAACCGCTTACCCGTATGTATTTTCAATGGTATATTATACACTCACGAGAATACTTTATTACTTGAACGAAGTAAATATACATTAATGAGCACTCATATTTTTGAAAGAAATAAGTGTTTTTAGCTAAGAATAAACTAAAAGAGTTACACAGTGTAGCTTTAAGAAAATGAGGGCCAATCAAAAAATAAATAAAAATATATATATATATATATATATATATAAACATATTTGTTTTAATCAACATGATGCTTAATGCTTTCAACTTAACTTGTGTTGAACCAGGAATATTGCAGAAAAAACTAATTTGTCAACTATCTAACACTAGATATCGAGTAGGAATATCTTGCATACAATTGTGGAGTGCAGAATAGTTTACTAAAAACAGATAGTAATTGTTATCTTACAATGCACAGACTGCAAAGTGTTATCTAGTTCTTAACATGCAAGTAAGATAAAGGTAAGTAAAGCATTGAATAAGTTTTAAACTTTTCTGTGTCAGGTTGAGGATCTCATCGTGAAGTGGAGGCAGAAGGGTAAACCAGTTGCTGGCATTGTTATCGAGCCCATCCAGGCAGAGGGAGGGGACAACCACGCCTCACCTGACTTCTTCATCAAATTGCGAAATATTGCACGCAAGGTGAAACATTTTTTTTTTTTTTCCAAGCTAACTGTTCTGAAATAGCTTTCCTGTGTAGTGTTGGTGCTTGCAACGCCAAAGTAATGGGTTTGATTCCCAGGGAATGCAAGAACTGATAAGATTGTAAAAATGTGTACCTTGAAATGCAATGCAAGTCGCTTTGGATAAAAGCGTCTGCCAAATGAATGTAAAATGCTTAGCTTTCCTCCATAGTCATCATTTCTCATTGAATCTGTGCTTTGAAGTCATTTCAGATAGACACTCCAGTTGTAAAGAGCTAAAATGAGACTCTTTGAACACTAATAAAAAAGGCACTCACCTCTCTGTACGAAGTTCTTTTCATCTGCTGTAAATTGAAGCCTTATGAACGAGATAAGGCAGAATACAAAAGGGAATGATTTAATAAGGCTGCTTTATGCAGAGAAAAGAGGCCCTTTAAGTAATTGTGTTGAAGTCCACGCTCTCCCTGAAAAACTTGGGAAGTGTTCTCTTCAAATGAAGCGTAGCAAGCAAAGCGCAACAGCTGTGTCCAGCAGGTGTTGTATGCAGCTTTATGCAGGCTGACAAGATGGGTTTTGACAGAGAATGAGCTAACATATGTTTATCTGTGTCTGGATCTTTCAGCATGGCTGTGCTTTCCACGTGGATGAAGTGCAGACAGGTGGAGGGGCAACAGGCAAGTTCTGGGCCCATGAGCATTGGGGTCTGGACGACCCTGCTGATATTGTTTCCTTCAGCAAGAAGTTGCTGACAGGAGGATTCTACCACAGGGATGAACTGAAAGTAGATAAAGTAAGGGTTGTCATCGTTTCACCAAATGTCCCCTCATGCAAAATCGCCAATCCCATTCTTATTAATTGTTCCCACATTTTTTTTTAAATAAGTCATTGTTTATGAATGGAGTTATAATGTGTTTTAGTATCGGATGATTGTTCTGTCAGTTTCGCAGTCTTTGTCTAAATGATCGCTTGTCCATGGATGAGATTCATAGCAGGATGGAACTGAGCAATCATGCCCTCTACTGTTTCTTTCTGTAAAGTCACCTCCAATAAGCCACAGCAAAACTTCATAAAAGGTTAGGTTATATGTTTATATAGGTTGTAACTATGTGACCTATATAGACATATACTTTTCATAAAAACTTTAGACATTGATCAAGAGAGACATTTAGGGTAAAACAGTAGGCTACTACAAACAGAGACTGTGCAATGTGAAAACAAAATTGTCCCAGAAAAATTAAAGGGACCAGTGCACATAGGGAGAGATGAGAGTATTAATAATTTTTAATGATAATTGTTGTTAGTATAATAATTATATCAGTGCAATTTAAATGGTGAAAATAATTTCTCATATTTATTTAATAATAAATGTATTATTATTATTACTTCAAAATAATAAATAAAATAAATCTTTTTTCATTTTTGGTCTACATAAAATTACTTGACATGATTTATCTCGTGTTGACGCATTAAAACAAGAATTTGAGGTGGGATATGACCCTTCTATTCGAATATCAAATAGCACTTTTTGTTCTTTTGCCCTGGAGAAAAAAAAAACAAAACAATGAAATTTTGCCGTCAAAATAGATTTTTGGTTGCATGATGTCTTACAGAAGAATGAGTGTAAGAACCATTTAAACTGACATGACTGTATGCACCTCAGCCCTACAGAATCTTCAACACCTGGATGGGGGACCCCTCAAAGAATCTGTTCTTATCAGAGGTGCTTAATGTGATCAGAAGAGAGAACCTTCTGGAAGAGGTGACGCGCTCAGGGAAGGCTCTTTTGCAGGGTCTTTACGCACTGCAGGTACAGTCATCTTCATTTATATCCTTACATGACTGACTCCTCACAGACGCCACAGCTCATCACGAAAGACTTTAAAACTGTTAATGGTTCTATCATGACGTTCATTGCTTATCTGAGGGCCGTCCTCATAACTCATGCTGTCGGAGAGAAAACCTGAGCCTGTAATCGATCCTAGCAGCGTAATGAGTTCTTGTTTTGAAGCTGTGGATTTATGATGCTGTCCACATTGTGAGCTGTGGATTTGTTTTAATGTCTCGCTGCTTCTCCTTACGTAGACCCAGTACCCTCATATCCTGAGTAGAGCCCGTGGCCAGGGTACATTCTGTGCCATAGATGCCTGCGATGATGTCACGCGCAACAGTATCATGATGAAGGCCAGGAACAAAGGTAAGCTGTTGGCCCCCTTACCCATCATCACACACAAGGTTTAAAACACAAGGTTTTCTGTTCTAATGACAATTGGATTATTTTATCATTTATTTACAAATTAGTTATTGTGTTTCATCTGTGTGATCTGACATGCAGTTTATTTACAATGGAGGGGGGGAAGCCACAGTTCCTTCCCCAATTGCAGCAGCTACCATTTTTATTACAGATATTTAGCGCCAATTTCCCTGGAGGTGATGATTTTGTTCTCTTGAACGCATGGGCTGCTTTATTCGCAAATGTTTTATGCGATATATATTTTTTTTTAACAATTTTGCACAAAAGTTAAAAATGCAATTTTGGATGGAAACATAGTTAGTGACAAAGGTAAATCATTGACAGGTAAACATATAATATGCAATTTGCAATAATTATATTAGTATTATAGGAATAATATTAATAGTAGTAACAGATAGTGTTAATTTTTAGACCCTGTCCGTACAAGATGCAGAGGCTTTATGGGATACTATGTTCTCTAAAATAAAATAAGAAAAACTTCTGTTTATCTCACCAGGTGCGTTTTTGGGTTCCTGTGGCGAAAAGTCCATCCGTTTCCGTCCCTCTCTGGTCTTCAAGGAGTACCATGTCCATCAGCTCCTGAACATCCTGAATGATGTTCTGACTGAGCATAAATAGAGTTCTGGCTGCCAGGTCGGCGTTGATTATGAAACGTATAGGGTCCAATCCCACTCAAGGGTTTATACCAGCCTGTCACAATTAATTGATCACCGTCTCTCTCTCTTTCCGTCCAGTCGCATCCTATCATTTCTAATTAGGAAGGATAAAAATCTGTTTTCCGATTCTTTTTATTTAGCTGATCTTATCTTTTTTTTTTTTTTTTTTTACCATGGGTGGACAGATTGAAGATCTGAAGCAGTACACAGGAATTCAGGGTCATATAATAAATTTAAGTAAATCTCATTCTAATGAATTAGTTAATTAGTGAATTAGTTGAAAATTAGTTAAATAAAGCAATTTAGAGACCTCAGAGATGGTACAGATTTCTTATTGCAATAATTCTAATAACCCTTTTAGTCAAAGAAAAAGAGTCCAGGTCTAAGCATCTGGAAGTTAACATGAAAAGATGAGTAGTCACTATGTATGACACTAAAACTACATGATAGTAGCTACTACTGGCATTATGAAGATAAAATATAACTATTTTAGTATCTACAAAGAAATGGTTGCACTGGAAATGCATAGGTTGTATTTTTTTCATGATGATGGATTGAATTTACAGAGCACCTGAATATTAAGGTCCTCTTTGAATTAAAAGCATGTGTGAAAGACAAGTCGTGGAAGCATCAATGGAGTGATTGCATTTTAAGGAGCTGGATAGGGCCGATGGAAAGCTGGAAAAAGTAAGAAGTTGCAGAGGAACCTCTAATCCCATTTTAACAGGGCATCTCTTGAGCCAATAACCTTCAAGCAATCAGAAAGGCCCTTTTATTGAGGTGTCTGCTTTACGGTATAATTCCTCAATCATAAAGAGCCATTGTCTTCACTGTGATGCAAAGCCTCTGATTTGAATCCCAGTGAGATATAAAACAGCAGACGAAACATTTAAAGCACAACCTGGTGTGGTAATGTGAGGGATGATCAGTTGCACAGCCAAATTTCTACCTGATCTAACAATAGAAATCCATCAGGACACATGTTTTAAAAGCACAGCTTAGCATCCATCCTCTGCTCAGGTGAACGTGATCCCCTCATGTTCCTCATCACAGGCCATGCAAGAAAAGCTATGGATAACGTCTACAAGGTCATCTTCACTTAATGGCCATCACAGCCTGTATATGTTGATCATCTTTCGGGTGATTCTCCTGTTCCAGTTGCTCCAAGCTGAAAGAGTGAACATCCCTTCAGCTTGTTTCAATCATCCTTTCCTTTTTAAATACTTAAACCCCAGTATGTACTTAATGTAGTTAGATTATGCAATGCTCATTGTGTAAGCTTATTAATGAAGACTATGTTTCCATGTTGCTTACAGCTGCATCAAATCGAGTTCCTTATTAAGTATATGTTATTCCTTCGTGGTAATGTGTTCCATGTCAGTGTAATGTATAAATGTTGTTTTGGATGCCTTTTAAATGTTCCTTTTAATGTTGTGGACAGGCGGCAGCAGGGACTGGAAATGTAAAAGTCTGTTTGTACTCTGCAAAGTCAATATTTAATAGAGAAATGTGTATTGATACTCATGTTAATTACAGAAAAAACTGGTTTACACTGTTATATGTAGTAAAATTAGATTAAAATACTGAGGTAATTTCTACATAAAACCTTAATGTTGTCTGAGGAAGTTCTAAAATAAATATGACAATTTGAATATTTTTTTGTTCTTGCCCGTCTTTGAAGCAAAATGACAAAGAAACACACATGCACATGAAAAATGATCGGAATAATTTTATTAATCACAATAATGTACACATACACAGTGAACAAGTTTTATTTTCAGTGAATAAAAAGAGTGAAATCTACATATTAGATGTGTTAAGGCTTCCTGTTAAGAGTGTGTAATCAGTTCTTAAAGGGATACTCCACCCAAAAATGAAAATTGTCATAATTTACTCAAGTTGTTGCAAACCTCTATGAGTTTATTTCTTCTGCTGAACACAAAGGAAGATATTTTGAAGAACGTTTGGCACCATTGACTTTCAAAGTAGAAAAAAAATACCATGGAAGTCAATGGTGTTAAAGTTCCAATCGTTTTTTCAAAATATACTCCTTTGTGTTCAGCAGAAGAAAGAAACTCATACAGGTTTGCAACAACTTGAGGGTGAGTAAATCATGACGGAATTTTCATTTTTGGGTGGAGTATCCCTTTAACCCCCTCAGACCTGAATTATGTTTCAAGTTTCTGAAAAATATAAAAGTACATTTTACCAGCTCATATCAGAATCCAGAGTTTCAAGAAGATCAGAGAAACTCAAAATTTTGACCCAAAAAAAAAAAAACGACAGTGTTACCCTTGTCGGTTTTTTTTTTTTGTGCGAAAAAATAAGTTTCTCCAATCTTCTTGAAACTCTGGATTCTGATAGAGGGCCATGAGACTTAGACCTGAGTGCAAAAATGGAGGCTCTAGACCCTTCCAGAGCTGAGATATTGAGATCCCACGTAGCATTTATGCCATTATAAATATCTCAATATCTCAGCTCGTGACGGGTCTAGAGCCTCCATTTTTGCACTCAGGTCTAAGTCTCATGGCCCTCTATCAGAATCCAGAGTTTCAAGAAGATTGGAGAAACTTATTTTTTCGCACAAAAAAAAAACGTAAGGGGTACCACTGTCGTTTTTTTTTTTTTGGTCGAAATTTTGAGTTGCTCTGATCTTCTTAAAACTCTGGATTCTGATAGAGGGCCATGAGACTTACACCTGAGTGCAAAAATGGAGGCTCTAGACCCTTCCAGAGCTGAAATATTGAGATCCCACGTAGCATTTATGCCATTATAAATATCTTAATATCTCAGCTCTGGAAGGGTCTAGAGCCTCCGTTTTTACACTCAGGTCTAAGTCTCAGGGCCCTCTATCAGAATCCAGAGTTTCAAGAAGATCAGAGCAACTCAAAATTTCGACCAAAAAAAAAAAACGACAGTGGTACGTACCCCTTACGTTTTTTTTTTTTGTGCGAAAAAATAAGTTTCTCCAATCTTCTTGAAACTCTGGATTCTGATAGAGGGCCATGAGACTTAGACCTGAGTGCAAAAATGGAGGCTCTAGACCCGTCACAAGCTGAGATATTGAGATATTTATAATGGCATAAATGCTACGTGGGATCTCAATATCTCAGCTCTGGAAGGGTCTAGAGCCTCCATTTTTGCACTCAGGTCTAAGTCTCATGGCCCTCTATCAGAATCCAGAGTTTCAAGAAGATTAGAGCAACTCAAAATTTTGACCAAAAAAAAAACGACAGTGGTACCCCTTTCGTTTTGTTTTTTTTTTGTGCGAAAAAATAAGTTTCTCCAATCTTCTTGAAACTCTGTATTCTGATAGAGGGCCATGAGACTTAAGACCTCAGTGCAAAATTGGAGTCTCTAGACCCTTCCAGAGCTGAGATATTGAGATCCCACGTAGCATTTATGCAATATCTCAATATCTCAGCTCTGGAAGGGTCTAGAGCCTCCATTTTCGCACTCAGGTCTAAGTCTCAGGGCCCTCTATCAGAATCCAGAGTTTCAAGAAGCTTGGAGAAACTTATTTTTCGCACAAAAAAAAAACGAAAGGGGGGGGTACCACTGTCAATTTTTTTTTTGGGGGGGTCGAAATTTTGAGTTGCTCTGATCTTCTTGAAACTCTGGGTTCTGATAGAGGGCAATGGGACTTAGACCTGAGTGCAAAAATGGAGGCTCTAGACCCTTCCAGAGCTGAGATATTAAGATATTTATAATGGCATAAATGCTACGTGGGATCTCAATATCTCAGCTCTGGAAGGGTCTAGAGCCTCCATTTTTGCACTCAGGTCTAAGTCTCATGGCCCTCTATCAGAATCCAGAGTTTCAAGAAGATTGGAGAAACTTATTTTTTCGCACAAAAAAAAAAACGTAAGGGGTACCACTGTCGTTTTTTTTTTTGGTCGAAATTTTGAGTTGCTCTGATCTTCTTGAAACTCTGGATTCTGATAGAGGGCCATGAGACTTAGACCTGAGTGCAAAAATGGAGGCTCTAGACCCATCACGAGCTGAGATATTGAGATATTTCTAATGGCATAAATGCTACGTGGGATCTCAATATCTCAGCTTGTGATGGGTCTAGAGCCTCCATTTTTGCACTCAGGTCTAAGTCTCATGGCCCTCTATCAGAATCCAGAGATTCAAGAAGATTGGAGAAACTTATTTTTTCGCACAAAAAAAAAAAACGTAAGGGGTACCACTGTCGTTTTTTTTTTTTGGTCGAAATTTTGAGTTGCTCTGATCTTCTTGAAACTCTGGATTCTGATAGAGGGCCATGAGACTTAGACCTGAGTGCAAAAATGGAGGCTCTAGACCCATCACGAGCTGAGATATTGAGATATTTCTAATGGCATAAATGCTACGTGGGATCTCAATATCTCAGCTCTGGAAGGGTCTAGAGCCTCCATTTTTGCACTCAGGTCTAAGTCCCATGGCCCTCTATCAGAATCCAGAGTTTCAAGAAGATTGGAGAAACTTATTTTTTCGCACAAAAAAAAAAAACGTAAGGGGTACCACTGTCGTTTTTTTTTTTTTTTTTTTTTGAAATTTTGAGTTGCTCTAATCTTCTTGAAACTCTGGATTCTGATAGAGGGCCATGAGACTTAGACCTGAGTGCAAAAATGGAGACTCTAGATCCTTCCAGAGCTGAGATATTGAGATATTTAGAATGGCATAAATGCGACGTGGGATGTCCATATCTCAGCTCTGGAAGGGTCTAGAGCCTCCATTTTTGCACTCAGGTCTAAGTCTCATGGCCCTCTATCAGAATCCAGAGTTTCAAGAAGATTGGAGAAACTTATTTTTTCGAACAAAAAAAAAAAACGTAAGGGGTACCACTGTCGTTTTTTTTTTTGGTCGAAATTTTGAGTTGCTCTGATCTTCTTGAAACTCTGGATTCTGATAGAGGGCCATGAGACTTAGACCTGAGTGCAAAAATGGAGGCTCTAGACCCTTCCAGAGCTGAGATATTGAGATCCCACGTAGCATTTATGCCATTATAAATATCTCAATATCTCAGCTCGTGATGGGTCTAGAGCCTCCATTTTTGCACTCAGGTCTAAGTCTCATGGCCCTCTATCAGAATCCAGAGTTTCAAGAAGATTGGAGAAACTTATTTTTTTCGCACAAAAAAAAAAACGTAAGGGTACCACTGTCGTTTTTTTTTTTGGTCGAAATTTTGAGTTGCTCTGATCTTCTTGAAACTCTGGATTCTGATAGAGGGCCCTGAGACTTAGACCTGAGTGCAAAAATGGAGGCTCTAGACCCTTCCAGAGCTGAGATATTGAGATATTGCATAAATGCTATGTGGGATCTCAATATCTCAGTTCTGGAAGGGTCTAGAGACTCCAATTTTGCACTGAGGTCTTAAGTCTCATGGCCCTCTATCAGAATCCAGAGTTTCAAGAATATTGGAGAAACTTATTTTTTCGCACAAAAAAAAAAAACGTAAGGGGTACCACTGTCGTTTTTTTTTTTTTGGGTCGAAATTTTGAGTTTCTCCAATCTTCTTGAAACTCTGGATTCTGATAGAGGGCCATGAGACTTAGACCTGAGTGCAAAAATGGAGGCTCTAGACCCTTCCAGAGCTGAGATATTGAGATATTGCATAAATGCTATGTGGGATCTCAATATCTCAGCTCTGGAAGGGTCTAGAGACTCCAATTTTGCACTGAGGTCTAAGTCTCATGGCCCTCTATCAGAATCCAGAGTTTCAAGAAGATTGGAGAAACTTATTTTTTCGTACAAAAAAAAAACCGTAAGGGGTACCACTGTCGTTTTTTTTTTTTTTTTTTTTGAAATTTTGAGTTGCTCTAATCTTCTTGAAACTCTGGATTCTGATAGAGGGCCATGAGACTTAGACCTGAGTGCAAAAATGGAGGCTCTAGACCCTTCCAGAGCTGAGATATTGAGATATTTATAATGGCATAAATGCTACGTGGGATCTCAATATCTCAGCTCTGGAAGGGTCTAGAGCCTCCATTTTTGCACTCAGGTCTAAGTCTCATGGCCCTCTATCAGAATCCAGAGTTTCAAGAAGATTGGAGAAACTTATTTTTTCGCACAAAAAAAAAAAACGTAAGGGGTACCACTGTCGTTTTTTTTTGGTCGAAATTTTGAGTTGCTCTGATCTTCTTGAAACTCTGGATTCTGATAGAGGGCCATGAGACTTAGACCTGAGTGCAAAAATGGAGGCTCTAGACCCATCACGAGCTGAGATATTGAGATATTTATAATGGCATAAATGCTACGTGGGATCTCAATATCTCAGCTCGTGACGGGTCTAGAGCTCCATTTTTGCACTCAGGTCTTAAGTCTCATGGCCTCTATCAGAATCCAGAGTTTCAAGAAGATTGGAGAAACTTATTTTTTCGCACAAAAAAAAAAAACGTAAGGGGTACCACTGTCGTTTTTTTTTTTTTGGTCGAAATTTTGAGTTGCTCTGATCTTCTTGAAACTCTGGATTCTGATAGAGGGCCATGAGACTTAGACCTGAGTGCAAAAATGGAGGCTCTAGACCCATCACGAGCTGAGATATTGAGATATTTATAATGGCATAAATGCTACGTGGGATCTCAATATCTCAGCTCGTGACGGGTCTAGAGCCTCCATTTTTGCACTCAGGTCTAAGTCTCATGGCCCTCTATCAGAATCCAGAGTTTCAAGAAGATTGGAGAAACTTATTTTTTCGCACAAAAAAAAAAAAACGTAAGGGGTACGTACCACTGTCGTTTTTTTTTTTTGGTCGAAATTTTGAGTTGCTCTGATCTTCTTGAAACTCTGGATTCTGATAGAGGGCCCTGAGACTTAGACCTGAGTGCAAAAATGGAGGCTCTAGACCCTTCCAGAGCTGAGATATTGCATAATGCTACGTGGGATCTAAATATCTCAGCTCTGGAAGGGTCTAGAGACTCCAATTTTGCACTGAGGTCTTAAGTCTCATGGCCCTCTATCAGAATCCAGAGTTTCAAGAATATTGGAGAAACTTATTTTTTCGCACAAAAAAAAAAAACCATAAGGGGTACCACTGTCGTTTTTTTTTTTTTTTTCGAAATTTTGAGTTGCTCTAATCTTCTTGAAACTCTGGATTCTGATAGAGGGCCAGACTTAGACCTGAGTGCAAAAAAGGAGGCTCTAGACCCGTCACAAGCTGAGATATTGAGATATTTATAATGGCATAAATGCTACGTGGGATCTCAATATCTCAGCTCTGGAAGGGTCTAGAGCCTCCATTTTTGCACTCAGGTCTAAGTCTCATGGCCCTCTATCAGAATCCAGAGTTTTAAGAAGATTGGAGAAACTTATTTTTTCGCACAAAAAAAAAAACGTAAGGGGTACCACTGTCGTTTTTTTTTTGGTCGAAATTTTGAGTTGCTCTATCTTCTTGAAACTCTGGATTCTGATAGAGGGCCATGAGACTTAGACCTGAGTGCAAAA